GGAACAAAAAGGCAACTTCAATGGAGAATCCGCACCCCGTCGTCGAGAGGAGCGGGGACGAGGGCCTGCGCGCCCCGCCCTCGCTTCTGACGCCGCGCCTCGAGGACGCAGTGGCAACAGATTGCGCTGCATCTGGCGAAACGGCTGGCGCCGTGCGAGAATGGCTGGGGGCGAAGCATGTAACACCATTGCTGGCGCTCGAAGTCGAAGTCCTGGCAGACGAGCTTGGGGAACCTGGCCCGAGTCAGACCCCCTGCGACCAACGGCAGGTCTTTTCGACCATGCCTTGAATACGTGGCAAAAGTCCGAAGGAAACAGGCACGGCCGACCTCAAAGAAGCGGCACCGCGGCGCACGGTTGAAAGTTTGTGCGCGCTGCCGGCGATGAGCGCGCAACGCCCCGGCAAAAGCTGTCGCCCGCGCGCAACTCACCATCGATCGCGACCAGGAGAACTTGGACGCGCACGAGCACGATACGGAATTGAAGGCATGTCTGTCTCTCTTGGGCGCAGTGCGCCAACACAACCGGCGCTGCGCCCGCATGCATGATTGCGGATTGCCGATTGAGGACCAACGCAGGCCACTGACCGGGCTGCTGGGGCGCAGAGCGCGAGTGCCGAGCACGGTCAGACACAATTCCTGTCAGGTCCAGCGATTCATGACGTGGCTGGAGTCGCGCGGCCGCCGGGTTGCATCCGTGTTTGAAATCGATGTCAAAGCGTAATTGGATTTGCAGAAGGAGCGGGGGCACTCTGTGCCCGGCGCAGTGTTTTCGGCGCCCCGCCGGTTTGACAATGCAATCCAGATGGGGTGGCCGCTGCAGGGCGAGCTGGTCGTGACCGCCGTCACAGAAGCGCACGGAGCGGCGGCCGCAGCGAGAGTGCACGCGGAACCGTTCACGCAGCTGATAATGTACAGACTCCATGACCTTTCCTGGCGCGCACAAAGGGCAGAAAGATGAATCTCAGGTTTTTACCTCCGCTTCGCCGGCGCGGTGCTCCGCTGGGGGGACCACAGATCGTGGGATATCGGGCTCACGCGGGACGCGATCTATGGCACATCGTACCGCGTGAAGCGGACAACGACGCCGACCCCGTGGGCGGCTCAGCGGCGCGACGCTGGCGGCCGCGCCTGGGGCGGGGCATGGCACGAGCTGACCAGCGCCCTGACTCCAGAAAACGGAGTGCAGGAAACCGAACCCTGAAACTGTTTTCCCAGTCGGGGGCACGACGTGTCCACACGCTCAAGCGTTGGTCAACACCACCACGCATGCGACTTCAATTAATGATTTGGCCTCTCGGGGTCTTCTTGGGGGGCCTCTTGGAGCCCTCTTGGGTCTCTTCGGGAGAGTGCCGAGTGGAGTTTTGGAGCCTTCGGAGCCGTCTCGGGGCGCTCTTGGACCTTCTTGGGCACTTATCAGGAAACCTTTGTTGGTTTTGTTTCGGGTCGTTTCTGGCGAGGTCCCCGTCCCGAAGGCCGACGCGGCACTCAGAGAACGCCCTTGAGTGCCCGGAGACTTTGGGAAAATACTGGTCTGAGGTTAAGAATCTTACACCGGCATGTCCTGAATATCAGAAAGTTCCCGAATCTTGAAGCCCCCGAGAAAGACTGATGCCTGTGAAACCTCTGAAGCTCCTGAAACTTCGGAAGCTTCTGAAGCTCCTGAAGCTCTTGAATGCTTTGAAGCTCCTGAAATTCTGGAGCGTCAGAAGCGTCAGTCGCGCCTCGAAGCTCCTGCGGCCTGGAGCGTCAGGAGCGGAAGCGTCAGAAACGTCAGAACCGCAGGAGAGTTGACGGCACAGATTCTTCTTCGGTTTGTGAGGGTTTTGGCTTGTCGGGAGGTCTTGGGGAGGGTCCGTGGCCACTTAGAGCCGTCTTGGGATAGCCATGGCGCCTCTTGGAGGCATGCTGGAAGCTATCTTGAACCATCTTGGGCTATATTGTGCTTCCTTGGAGGCGGTCATTGGGGGCCTCTTGGGGCCATCTTGGGCCATCTCTTGCTCGTTCTGACCGCGCGCGACCGGCCCTGCCTAGACCCAGGGAGGAAGGGCAAAGAGAAAGGTACACTTCTCCCCGAAGAGGAAAAGGATGTTGGAATAACCAACTCCCTAAACCACCCTCGCCTAACGGGCAGCTGGGATTTCAGGAGAGCTTCGTCGACGATCGGCGTAATTGATCGTTCATTGCGATTGGATTCTGGTAGCGACCAGCGTGAAGTGGAGACCGTTAAAGGGGAGGAGGAAGTGGAGGTGGAGGACACCTAGTAATGATAAGAGTTCGGGACATATGAGGAGGATGAGGAGGACGAGAAGGAGGCGAGGAGGAAAAGGAGGACGAGGAGGAACAGGAGGAAAAGGAGGAGGAGGAGGAGGAGGAGGAGGAGGAGGAACAGGAAGACGGAAAACGGGGGACGATGGGGGGGGCGTTTCCTTCTCCCCCCCCAGGTGGGCCCCGACGACACTGACCAGCCGAGAGACAGTCTACGCAACAAGCTCTGCGAGGTGCCTTTCCTTTTCTCTGTGGCGTGCAGAGCGGGGCAGGGGGAGGTGGGAAGGTTTCTTAGAAACACCCCTGCTTCTCAGACCCCCCCCTCCCTACCGCCTTGTGCGCGCCGCAATGTTTTCCTTTTCTTTCCCTCTTGCTGGTTGCTGGCGACGCTCCCTTGCCGGCGCCCCCCCCCCTCTTCGCTCCCCGCCCTCCCGCCCCCCCGCTCACCAGGCCCGTGGCGACCTTGGCGGTCGCGCCGGGAGAGTTTGTTTGTCGCAGTCCTCGGCGCCCAGGGGGCCACATAAGAACTTTTTTGTTATAAGGCTTGGGCGAGAAAAGCCATGATCGGCCCTCTCTCTCTCTCTCTCTCTCTCTCTCTCTCCCCCCCCAGATCACGTCACACTAGTTTGCCCGCGTCTGCAAAGATTACCTGCGGATTCTTTCTAAGGATTCCCTAAGATTTCCAGCGTCCCACTGGCGTGATGTGATCGGGGGAGACGCGCTCCCCCCCTCCCCCGGTCACGCCCAGTACCGCGAAGAATAAAAAACAGGGCTGGAAGGGGCCCGAGGCCTTCAGAAGCACCCATCGGTCGTTGAGAGTGCTCCGAACTGCATAAGGGGGGTATGACTTTTCTAGGGTGGGGGTCTGCTTGGAGCTGTCCTGGAGGGTTCCAGTTGGGCCCTGGTCAAAAGGCCGCCTTTTCATGGCTGACCGTGGAGGGGGTCTGCAATTGTTCGTCTGGGAGGGAATCTGGTGCCCCCCCCCCCCTTGTCTGGAATGTAGTGACCCCCCCCAGGGTCCCGCTCTTCTCCAGGCGCGTTCCCATTTCAAGAGTCGGGCGGTCCACCCGTCTCCTTCCGTCCCGTCACCCCGCGTCCCTCCCTCCCCCCTCCCCTGGCCTGTCGCTCCCCCGTGTGCGCCTTGCCTCCCTCGTCTGCTTTGCTCCCTCCGTTTCCTCTCGTGCAATCTCGGGAGGGAAGGACAACATCAATGACACGCCGCCGTTGCGAGTCTGTCAGCGTGTTGTTATTTTGCTGATGTTGTTGTGGTTGTTGTTGTTGCTGTTGAACTTCACAACTGAAGAAGAATTATTGTTGATCCCCCTCCTCGGGTGCACATTGTTTTTCAATTGAAGTGCCCCCCTTGGCGCCCGCACCTTGTTTTTTAACAGGGGAGGTCTTCGTCCTCAAACTGAGCCCCTGGCCCGCGGTTTACAGCAACAAAGGCTCCCGTTTGATATTTCCTCGAAATGTACTCCGGTTGCTGTTGCTGTTGCTGTTGCTATTGCTGCTGCTGCTGCTGATGTTGAATTTCCACTTCTGAAACATAATTATTGTTGATCCCCCCTACCGGTGCACATTGTATTTGTTCCATTGAAGTGCCTTTTCTCGGGGCTCGTACTTATATATATATATATATGTATATATATATATATATATATGTATATATATATGTATTATTTTCAATAGAATATATCAGGGAAGGTCTTGAGGCTCAAACTGGGCCCCTGGCCCCTGGGTTACGACAACAACGGCTCCTGCTTGAGATTTCTTCACAATTTAGCCAGGACCCCCGCTCCCGCTTGAAATTTCCTCGCATTTTATTCAGGAGTCGCGCTCTCGCTTGGGACTTCCAGGCAATTTATGCAGGAATCGTTTTCTCGGCGCTCCGGGGTCGCGCTCTCGCTGGAGACTTGCTTGCACTTTCTTGTAATTTATTCAAGCGCCGCGCCCCCGACACTCAGGCACCCAGGAGTCGCGCTCACGCTGAATTAAGTCGGGCGCGTCCCTCTACGGGAAACATATTTTCAACTAGTACAACAATAGTCGGGTGGCGAATTTCTAAAGCATCTCCAGAATATTCAAACATAGTATGGAAATTGCCTCCTTGACAGAAGATTCGCTAGCAGACGCCGCACACGTCTGGAGAACATGCTGCGCTGCGTGGCGTCGGTATGACCTGTTGCGCCGCTCGTGGCGGCGGCGGCGCGCGCGGCCGCGTTCTGGCGCGCGTGTGCTTTTGCAGCGAAGTGGTTTGTGCACAGCGCGCAGTGAGGATCGACTGCGCTTTGCCATCGCATGCCAGATGGCGCGGCGGCACCATTGGAAACCGATGCGACGCATCATCGCTCCGGCGATCACCCTTTTGACATGCGCTCGTGTTTTGGAGGCGCAGACTATGCGTTTACTTCGTTCGTCCCCGCACCCGCAACCATCGCCCGAACAGGCTCTGCGGCCGCTAGAATTCACATATCATCGCAGAACATGCAATATTCCCCCACGCATATCGTCCCAATGCTTGCGTACCTTCTTTGCGCATCAACAAGGTCATGGCTTTTCTTCCTGGTTCCTTCGCTCCCCCGACCGTTTCAAACAGTCGCTGTTGGTCGCGTTTCCCCCCGTGATTCTCCGGGATGCCATGGGGCGCCATTTGTAGCCGCCGTTTTTGTGGGGCTGGATTGCAAGACGCGCGCGTCGCTTTGTTCGCTCTCGCGGGCTTGCCAGCGGCGGGGATTCCGATCGCGTCGGGCGCAGCGAAGCGCGCGGCGCTCCAATCGGACGTCTCTGAAAACATGGCAAATGACAGGATGGGCCCAACAAGCGCGTCGCAGGAACAGATGCGAGAGTTTTCGCGAAACCCCTGTTGCAACCCCGCGGGGCGCGCGCCGCCGCCGCGGCGGCGCCGAAACATTGCGACGCGCCGTCATCGAGCGCCGCCTCCGTGAACGAGGACCGCCTGCAGCGCAGTAGCGATGGGAGAGCGGCTCCGCTGGGGGGGCGCGTGCTGCGGCATCATCCCCCGTGCGGGCCAAAAAGGTTGACCTGGCCACCCGTGGCAAGTGGCGACCTATGCGCCGCGGCGTGCGCGCGCGCCCGTGAGCGCTCGGCATCGGGCGCGCCGGCATGGCATTGTCCACGTGTTTTCGCATGCATCACGTTGAGATAGTTGCGCCTTCCAACCCGAGAATGACATTTTAGAGTGGGTTTTGACTATTGGGTTCCCGGCTTGGAGCTCGCAGCCCGTTGCGTAGAATCGTAGACGCCACGCCGCAAGCGCGCGGGCGCCTGCCGTCTCGCGCGCCGGCATTGCATTGCGCGCGCGTTTTCGCGTGCACCGCGCTGAGGTGGTCGCGCCTTCCGATCAGAGAAGTTTTGCAGCGAGTTTTGACCATTGGGCTTTCAACTTAACATCGCCGCCCATGGAACACCCCCGCACCCACGATGATAACGCCCCCGCCCCCCCCCCCCCCCCCCCTGCGCATGGGAGTTGATTATCCACGGCCAGTAAGAGTTTGGTCGGGGGCGCGGGGCGCGGAGGCCGAACTTCATTATCACGGGGGAAAGTTCGCCATCGAGGCTACTTCCTTCTCATGTTGAGATAACGGCGCCGGGCGAAGCGAACGCGTTTTTTATTCGGGGTGTCTCGAGCGAAACAAATGTCGCTCTGTCTCTTTTTAGTTTTTTTCTTAAACAATATATTATTTGTTCTTTCTTTCTCTCCCTCTCTCTCTCTGCCCCCGTCTCTCCCCCCCCCCCTCCTGCGCCCCGAACTTGTTTATCGCTGGGGTTGGTTATCCCGGGAAAACGAGGCGCGTGAGCTACCCTGCGCGAGCAGATGGTCATTTTTATTTTCATTAAGCGTCTACACATTAAATCTAACAAGTTTTCAAGTTTGGATGTCTGCTATCTCCCTCTCCTCTCCTCCCCCTGCTCTTTCTTCTCCTCCGCCTCCTCCTCTTCCTCCTCTACCTCCTCTTCTGTTTCTATCTTTCTATTTATCTCTCTATCTTTCCTCTCCCTCCCCTGCCCCCTGAACTTGTTTATCGCTGTGGTTGATCATCCTGAGATAACGGGGCACATGGGGAATCTCTACAGAAATCCGAGCTTCAATTCCGCATCATAAGAATATTAGAAGCCGACGCGTTTTTTCGGCCCCCTTAAAGGGCGCCAGAATTTTTCAATCTCGTTTTTTTGAATTAAATGTCGATGTATTAATGGTGAATAATATAGAATGGAAGCTTGGACGAATGGTGAATAACATAGACTGGAAGCTCAGGGGCGCGCGCGCACCTCCGAGCTTCAGTTCTGCATTAAACATATAATGCCGGCGCGTTCCTGCAGGGTGTTTCAGAGAGGACAAAAGCCAAGGATGTCTCAAAATATCCTGGGCTTCGGCCCCTCTGTTAACATCTTTATGCTGGCCTCTGGTGGGCAACTTTTATTATCGCGCCCGTGACCGCCGAACTTCATTATCCCTGGGGGTTTATTCTCGGGGGCATGGGGTTAGAAACGCCAGTGCCGCGCAGCGAGCGAGCGCGCGCGCGGGCGCCTGGCATCTGGCGCCGGCACCGCATAGTGCATGCGCTTCCCTATGCGCCATCTTCCGGCGGCTGCGGCCCCCGATCCGAGAATTATTTTTCATATGGGTTTTGACCGTTGGACCGTTGGGTTTCAGAATTAGCATCGCCGCCCAATGTATAGAACCGTGGACGCTGCGCCGCGCGCGCGGGCGCCTGCCATCTCGCGCGCCGGCATTGCGTCGCGTATGCGTCATCGCATGCACCGCGTTGAGATGGCCGCGCCTTCCGATCAGAGAATGAATCTTGACATTGGGTCAGACCATTGGGTTTTCGACTTAACATCGCCTCCCCATGGCGTGGAAATGCATGCGCCACCCCGCGCGCGCGCGCGCCCGCGCTCGCGCGCGCGGGCGCCTGGCATTTCGAGTGATGGCATTGCGTGGCGCATGCCTTTGCACGCGCGCCGCGCCCTTATGGCCGCGCCTTCCGTTCCGAGAATGGAATGTTACACTGGGTTTTGACCGTTGGGTTTCCGATTGGGCAACGCCGCCCATTGCTTAGAATCGCACGCGCCACGCCGCGAGCGCGCGCGCGGGCGCCTGCCATCTCGCGCGCCGGCATTGCATCGCGCGTGCGTTTTTAATTTCACCGCGTTGAGATGGTCGCGCCTACCGATCAGAGAATGAAGTTTTACATTGGTTTTTGGCAAACGG